TTTTCCTTGGGGGGGGGGGGGGGGGGGGGGCAGGCGATAAGGTTCGAGGATACATCATGCAAGCACATCTTTCACATGTTCGATTTGCGATAGGTACGTAAGATAGGTTCAAAGGGAGTGAACGTTTTTTTTTGCGCCGGCCGCTTTTGGCAGGCAATTATGAGAGGGACAAGACTTCATCGACGCGCACACACAATCGAGGCAATCACCGCGGTGAACACTAAACGGCGTGCATCGAGGTCGACTCTCAATTTTTGGCCAACCTTTTCTTGGATCCCCGGGCGGGCTACCAACGATGCAATGTTTTTCGGCTCAGGCCGAACCGAGGGGGGCCCTTGTGGCTTGGGAGCGAGTGGTCTAGGGGGATGAGGGGGCTTGATGAAGCAATCTCAACGCCTACAAACCACCCGATCAACTGTCTCAGTGTACTCGAACTAGGCTCCGCCAGATTGGAGGATACAAAGTTTCTGCCTTCATTCGGTTGTACAACGGTTTTGCTTTGCCCTCATCAAATTGCGTTGTTGTTATCTGTGTATTCATACTCTTTTGTTGTGATTTTGCTCGAGGAACCAAAATTGATTTTTGGCGTTCATGCCGATTTTCCAAGGCTTCCCCCCGGTAACGGGTTAACTAAACGGGATGGTAATGCAGCGATACGGTAATTTCTTAACGGTGAACGGCAACGAAAAAATTCGCTTGTGATAATTGTGGTGATTAGCGGTAAAGCCAGAAAAAGCGGTTGGCCGCCAAGAATTACCGCAGAAATAAAAAATAGCTTGTACTGTAGACCGACTTGTGATTTTAACGCAGCACTCACGAAGACAAGAAATATGAAAAAAAGATTCCCGAAAGGCACTCGGACGGTAAGTGGCGAAAAATCGTTTGTAACGACAAGTTACCATGTACCAAAATTTACTGCGGCGAACACTACCACGAACAGCGGCGGATATTCAAAATAAATAATCCTCTTCCAGTTTGATTGTGCAACTTCTTCGGGGGTAGTATATAGTTATTATAGCGTACGAAGATGTCCTCCTCCAACACCGATATTGGAAGGTACTGAGCACAGCTGGGATCGACAAAACTAGTGGGACAACAGCAACCAACGACAACATCAGCCACAACAAACACCCACAAAACAACAATGACCAAAACTCCTACCACATACATTTCCAGGCGCGAAGCTATCACATTCAACCTCCCAGTGATCGCTCGCGTACCAGCACCCCCCCCACCACTCACCGGCATCCACGGCGCCCGCTGGTTCGGTCACAGCGGCGACGGGTACAACGGGCTGCCCGGCAACAAGGGCCTCGGCCACCGCCGGTGCAGCGGCGTCAACAGCGGCTTCGGCGGTGGGCGGCGGGATCTCTGCCGGTACGGCATCAGCATCCACCGCGACGGTCTCAACCGGTGGCTCCGCCGCAGCCGATGGTGGTTCGGGGGCGACGTCGGTCGGAGGAGAAGCAGCAACGTCGTCGGCTGCTGCTGCTCGGGCATCCGCCGCCGGAGCATCTTGTTCGTCGTCGCCTCCCGCCGCCGCCGCCGTCGTCGGAGGTGCGCCGTCGGCCCCGCCGGTCTCCCCTGCCGCCGCTGCGTCAACAACGCTCTCGGGTGCCGGCGAGTCGCTCGGCGGCGCGGCGGCGGGTGCTGCTGGTTCCTCGGTAGCGGGCTCTTCGTCCTGTGCGGACGTCACTGTCAGGGCGACGAGTAGAGATTTGGGAGGGGCAGGGGTGAGAGGAGGCTGGGGCACCGAACTGGGCGGTATTTTTGTGTCTTGTGTTTAGTGTGGGGGGGGAGCGGGGGGGATGGTTGTTAAGGGCGGGCGGTCGGGCACGCGAGAGGTTAACCCGCCCCTGCGTAGCGGGCTACTCGCTCTTTTTTCTTGGTGCAAAAGTATTTCCGTTGTTTAGTCATGGAACAACCCGCCATTAGTGGCGTGTGCCTGGAATAGCAGGCATGCCATGTTTGCTTCGCCTAGTCTGGTCTCACATTGTACAATACGCCGAGACGACAGAAACCTTTCGTTTTATGGCTCATCTGATGTGCTGACGTCGGAGAATGTGATGAGTTTTCGGGAGCAGATGTCCGCAGCTGTGCGCACCGGAAATATAAAAAAATTCCAAGCCTATGTAGATGAAATCTATACATGCGACTTGAATAGATCGGCCGATGAGGTTTGGGAACAGGTGAAATCCTTACCCGTTCAACACAATTCATGATCGCTTGCGTGTACCTGGCAGCAGTAGCGGTACGCCAGGCAAAAAAGTAAAACAGACAGGCCAGCTACAGAGCATAGGCTAGACCAATGAAGACAACCTACTTGGCTTGCTTTTTCCGCCGCCGCGGAAGCCCCTCAAACAACCAGCAACAAACAGAACCGCAACATTCGACTCAACTAGACTACACTTATTAACAACAGCAACCGTCGTGCACTCTACAACTTACCACGTGGTGCATCGTCAGCTGGCTCGTCGCCTTCTTGTTGCGCTTCGCCCCCCCGAATAACGCATGCTGTTGACTCTAGGGCGGCTGTTGCCGCCGCCGCCGCCGCCGCCGCCGCCGATCCAGTCACTTCCGCGCCGTCGTCAGCGCCGGCCTCCTCAGCGGCACCGCCCCGCGGTGGCGCGTCGGCCACATCGTCCTCCTCGATGCCGTCGTCACTGCCGCTGCTGCTGCTGTCGCCTGCAACGCTAGCGAGAGGGGCGGGTGCGGCCGCAGCAGCCGTTTCGGCGTCGACGGCGGGCACGTCTGGGGGAGCGATCTCGGAGGTGGTAGTGGCGGGGGCGGTTGTTGCTTCAGTCGTCGTCGTCGTCGTCGTCGTCGTCGTCGGCACCACCTTCTTCTTGAGCAAGGACTTCGCGGCGGTGGCGAGATCGGTTTCGATGCCCGCGTTTGCCTCAACGTCCGACGCGGGGGGAGGGGAAGGAGCAGAAGGACTCGGCTCGATCATCATGGCGGTGGTGGTAGTGGTTGGTGGATCCGAAGTAGGCATCACGTCGCAGATTTTCACTTGCAGCTGCTGAAGGTGAAGTGGTGGTCAAGCTCGGACACGTTGTTCCAGAGAAAGCGCAAGGGTTTCTTGTCGATTGCGGGATCCTGCGTTGTGCGGACAGGGGCAGAGGGAGGAACGCAGCCGCCGGGGGTGCGCAAAGGTGGGAAACCGGCGGTTTTTTTTGTTCAGTGTTTCATCAATGAATCGGCGGTCTATCTTGCGTAGCCTACTAAATATCTTTGCCAACTAAATGCAGTGTTCATTTCTTGCCAGCAGGGACGAGGAGGCCACGACAAAACATTTCCAAGCGGCAGCGCGGATCTACAGTAGAAAGAACGCAAACGCGTGGCAGAGGGAGATGGGCTAGAGAGGCATCGCGCAGGGGGGAGGAGGGTAATAGGTGCGGCGAGTATCATCGCGTATGATAGTTGCAGGGGGAACCTCTGTTGCGCTGGTAGCGCTGTGAATGATCAATGTGAGAGTTGCATCATGGTGGCCCGGCAACTACAAAAAGAAGACATCAACTATATAATCACCGAATGTCCAGCTCGGCGTTATCCGCCGAGCCTGTGCCCCCCCGCGTTCTGATGCGGCCTGTCTAAGGTTGAAGCCTGTTGGAAGCACCGCAGCGCTGCATTGGTGCAGATAAACCGCGACGGTTGCTTGATGCAGCCCGAGGCTCCATATGGGCAACATGCACAACAGCTTTCAGGGCCTGCTGCCTGTTAGACTTCTATTCATTCCTTATGACTAGCAGATGTTTCATGCTTCTGATTAGATGCTGGCCCCACACAGCAGCAGATGGCACGCGTCTCTACACCATGCGACGAAACACCAGGGGGGGAAGCAGGGACGGTACATGTATCACACAAGGTCAGCTACAATATTTGGGCAACAAGCTGTTGCGATCCGTGCAGCATTCGACTCGACAAACACAGAAAAAATCTTGGTCTCACCGGTGGAAAGAAGGAAGTGAGCAGAGTGGGGGGCTGCTACGGCAACCCTTGGACCAGCCCCGCCTGTGAGCATGCTTCCACGAACAGCAGCAGGTTCCAATATCTGCGCAGCAGCAAGTGATCTCATTATTGCTTCGTGATTCCAGAACAAACTGGCAAGATGCGTGTGCATGACCACCTCGTTGCCGTATATGACGGCTTTCGAAATTCCAACTGCTTTGGTTGAAGCAACCCTTCCCTACGAACTGCCACCGTACTGCTCTACAGTCCCATTCCACGATCCCTCTTGCGCTGTTCAGCTTGCAGCAGCAGCAGCAGCAGCAGCAGAGCAATGCTCGTACACGTGTACAACAGCTTGCTGAACGGGCGGGGACCAGCATCATGAGCGGACGAGCGGACGGTGTTGACATGACGAACGAAATTCCTCCGCATTTTTTTTGGGCGTGTGGGGGCGCGCAGATGTACTAATTTGTTTGGGGTGCATTTGTTTTTTTAGAATGCTAGCTGTGTTCCCCCTGCCTTTGCTCGGCCGTCTGGCCGTGTGTAGCAAGAAGAGGTTAGCACGAGAGAGAGGGGGCGAGAGAGAGAATAGAGCAAGGAAGCAGTGAGAGGAGACGCGACCCAGCTTTGGTACCGTGATTGCGACGGCTGTCGGCTGTCTCCGTTCACCGTCTCATCCACCGTTGTCGCCAAAACTCGCCGTGCACCAAGAAACTTCCTTCCGCGTCGCTGCTGCTGTGCACACACCTCACATCGGCGATAGCGGCGGAGAGAGAGAGAAAGAGAGAGACAGGCTTGACCTTGCAGTTTGGCGTGGAAGGAGCGATAGGCTTGAGTGAGCGGCCACCATGTCGATAAGGTTGCGTGAGCTGATCCGGGCCGTGCGGGCGTGCAAGACCGCGGCCGAGGAGCGAGGCGTCGTTGCGCAGGAATGTGCCCGAATCCGGACGGCGTTCAAGGAGGAAGACACCGAGTTCCGCAACCGGAATGTCGCCAAGCTGCTCTTCATCCACATGCTTGGTGAGACGACGGACGAGTGCGCGTGAAAGGGGGGCGAAGCAGCCCTGTCCGTACGATTGTGTAAGGTTCCACCTGCGCGGAGAGGGGGCAGGGCAACAACTACACGTGACGATTAAGTGTTCGGTGTGGTCAGCCAGCCCCCAACCTCGTCGTCTCCTCCGCGGGCCCACTCTCTCTCTCGATTTCATACACACAGATCCACAGCAGTGCACACGACGATTGCGAGCAATCGGCGCACATTAGTCGACGACGTTCTACCAGCAAGCAGTTTGGGGCGACGATGGTGTAGTGCTGTAGGTTGATTCCCTCCATAAGGTGGAACAATCTCAAACGTCTGCTGCTTAGGAATCCCTCCGTACCCTACACAAGATACCACCCCCCTCCGGGCTTGCTCTTCAAAGCCCGATTCACTCTGCAGCACTCCAAAGACTGGAACGGTGTCCAACAATTGTGGTATTGGACCCCCCTAGCCGAGAGAATTCCTGACGACGTGACATTTGAGTTTGCATGCTTTTCGCCTTGGAATTGACCGTCGAGAGAGCATCGGTCCCCGGGGGGGGGGGGGGTATATTCTGCAACGTGCGGATGAACCCTGTTTGTGTTGGTAGCCTTGTTCCTCCGGGTAACCGCCTGCCTGCGCTTAACTCGTGCGCTGGGTGTGTGTGCGGGAGAAGCGTTGAGAGACCTTTCCTGTTTTTGGCGGTACTCTTGTGGAAGACAAGAAGCCCGTCAAACAGAACCCTGTAACTTACATACATCAGTCGAGGGGCACAACACCGGCCTGCCTCCGAGCTCAGCCCCCCTTGGCGCACCCGATGACTCCGTCGGAAAGTCGGAAATCATAGCCCCCCTAAATCGGAGACTATGCTGGGAGAGGTACACCAGAACCATAATCAATTTCTCTAAAGCCTTGGCAGTTCCCCTGTAATCGTATCCTCTGGGCTAGATTATTTGGGTTTTACCTGTCTCGTAGGAAGTGTACTACATTTGCCGTTATTATCTGCAAGGCGCATGTTTTTCGCCGCAAGGTTATGGAGTACTCGATTTGCAGCGTGTAGAGGTTACGGGGGGGGGCGTGGAACGTCGTGGAGCGCTCAAGAATCGAAGACGATGCGGTGTGTATTCCTGTCTCTCTAGCTTGAGACGGCACACGAGTCTGGGGTATCGTGGATGTTAACCGTTTCCTGGTCCTTGCAGTGGCGTCAGCATCAGCAGTAGCAGCAGAAACAGCAGCTGTAGCGGCGGCGGCGGCGGCGGCGGCGGCTGCAAGTACATACCTGCAGCGATAATTTCAAGCTACGTCATGACGCGGCCATCCAGCAGACCCCTACCCCTATTTTTCTGCGTACCCCCTGAACATTGGCCTTCGAGAACTTAACCCCTTTGGGTCTAGGCTGTACTGTCAGATTTTTTTTTTGCGCCAAAAAAAAAAAATGAGAGCGAGAGCGAGCGGGAGAGAGAGAAGTGCAGAGAAAGACACCAGTGGACTACTGCACACACAACAGCTATCTCCACCTGTAGGCCATGAGAGAAGCCGGCGACAGGGTGGCGCCACAGACAGGGTCGTAGAAGGGTTGATGGGTGGTCGCGCTGCGGTCAGTAGGGCAGGTTAGCTGTGTAGACTTTGAAATGATCAGTCGTCTAGCTTCCTCAACTAGTCTATTTTCGGTATGTTGTAAATGATCAGTCCAGAGAGGGCAAAATGATCAGTGAAGACCCATAGCTGGTATTTGTACTTCTGTACTTCTCTGTTCTCTGTCCCCCCCCCTAAATGTGCCCTGCCAGCTCTCTAGAGCTCCTGTGTTTTTCAAACAACAAGCACATCCACCAGCTCACACCTGTACCTCGTGGTTTCCAAGGTTCGGGCGAGGGTGGTATGTGTGGCGCTACGAGGGTGGATGTGTTGCTGATATGTGTTACTCGTCTACAGCAGTAGTAGTAATGTTGTTGTAGCGTTCGTTGTAGCTGCTGACATAATGACTGCTGGATCTTGGGAACGATTTTCAAATTGTTGGGAACCACGATATCCTCGATATCTGGGCTTCGGCAGGGATTGCAATACCCCTCCCTTTTGCTGCCCTCTGCTCTTTGCAGCAGTGGCTTCCTACGTTCGGGCGAGTGTATGTGTGGTGCTGCGAAAGAACACATATGTATGTATGTATGTATGTACGTATGTATGCACACACGCGTTCATTGACATGTGCATACGTTGAGAGATTCATGATTTGGCATTGATTGGCCCCATTCCCATTCCCGAGACCGTTGATATTACCCGCTGTCACTGAAGTCTCTTCGTTGGTCGGCCGGTTAGCGCGGGTGCTAACAATCTAGACACACCTACCTATGGACTTGCCAATCACGGCGCGAAGGGCTGCAGGGCGGCAACTCCACGACTTGCCACTACACCAGCATTTGCAAATGATCAATCAATGATCAGTGAGAACGCCTGAAGACTCAAAAGGGTTAAGACGAAGAGTTAGGAAGGTAGACGATGAAGCAAGTTCAACTGTGAATGCGGAGTAGTTGCGGAATGTCCGTTGTACAACAAGGAGAGGTAAGTGTACATGACTGAGCTGGGAAAAGTAGAAGGGAGCTACGGGGAGATGTTTGAGGCATGGAATAGCCGGGAGAAGACGGTAGCTGTGCTGGGGTATAGGACGTGGGTTGGAAAGGCCCGAAGTTGTATCGATAGGATAGATAGACTAGGGAAAACAGCTTTGAGCCACCTTTGGCAAAGTAGGAAGGAACGATTGGCCATCGGTGATCGGTCCTGTGGGAACAATACTCCGTTCTCTCGAGATCGCGTGGTCAATGGTCCAACCGCTAAGGCATGCAAAACATCAGAGTACGCCCTCCCCCCCCCACGCTCCCACCTCTTTGTCGTCTGCTGTTTGCAGGCTACCCGTCGCACTTCGGGCAGATGGAGTGCATCAAGCTCATCACGTCCCCCAACTACATGGACAAGCGGATCGGGTACCTCGGCCTTACCCTGCTGCTCACGGACCAGGAGGAAGTTCTGATGCTCGTGACGAACTCCCTCAAGGTAATGTAGCATTTCGCCCCTTCTCTCTTGAAAATGTTTTCGCTGCTGCTGCGCTGCTGCATTTGTTTGAGTTTTGCGTTTTCGTAGTGTTTGCGAAAACTCTCTGCTCAAACATCCCTGTAGCTGTGTGTATTGTATTGTACCATTCGCCAACGACTTTCCTCAGAGGACGCACCGGTTTGGGTGTGTGAACCTTTTGACCAAGAAAAATGAAATTGCTTCTTTTTTTTTCAGGGCTTTGTCTTCGCCAGGAACAAGCCTCTTGTCGACAGCCATTTAATGCAACCGTTTGCTTGCGTAGCTAGCAGCATCTTTCCTTTTTCGCTTGCCCTTCGTCTGTCTTGCCCGAGCATTTGGAGAAGATTAATTCTCTCGGAACCCACTCGCAGATTTGAGCATGCACAGCAGCGTAACATGCTCGTGGCCTGCCGTTGCTGTATGATAAGCCTCCGTTCCCCCCAAGCCCTAAAAAAAATCTGCAGTTGAAGACGTTTTTTACCGGAAAATTATTTCGCCCCTCCTTGCCGTTCCCAACCCCCGGTCGCCCCCCCCCCCCGGTATTTGCCATTGGGGTTGGGTTTTCGTAGCTTGGCAACGACGTTGCAAAACATGTCCATTCACTTCGTGAACTCGACAACCAGGTTACCGGTTTTTTTTTCACCTCTGTTTTTTTTTTTTGCGGTAACGGTAATGGTGGTCGAGTAGATCATGTTGTGCGGGGTCGACAACCCTCATTCCGCGCAAGGGGGATGATCGAACCACGTTGTGTGAAAATGGTCAAGCACCTTCAAGGCAGTTACACAGCGCTTATAACTGTCTCTGGAAGTGAAAGCACCAGAAAATAAATTAAGTCATACGCAGCTGTCATCTGTACGCAAGGAAGTAAGCACAAGATGCCGAACACCCTTAGCAGGATGCAGCTCACCCTTCATGCGACTCGCCGAATACCTCACGGCGCTTCGCGCTTGGTGATGTGAGAGCCTGGTCCGGTGAGAACCCGGCGTGCTCCGTCCGGGCTTGTAGGGATGCGAGGTCAATGGTCTAACGACTACGGCATGCACGACTATGAGTACACCCCCCCCCTTGCCGTTCGCAGGTTGACATGCACAGCAGCAACATGTTCGTGGCCGGCTTAAGTCTCACTACTGTCGGCAACCTCGCGACCCCGGACATAGCCCGCGATCTGATGATGGAGGTGGAGAAGCACCTCAGGGGGGGAAGACCATACCTTGTCAAGAAGGTGAGATGCATGTTGAGTACGGGACCACAGACAAACAATGTCATACAGTCGGGTCGCGGCTTCGTTTTTGTTTTCTTTGCGGCTGTCGAGCACAGGCCCTTATGTAGAATTTAGTGTAGGATCCGCCGTTGAGGCATGTTTCTTAGGCTTATTTCTTGTTGTTGGTGGAAATTGGAGCCTCTGCTCTTAACGAAATACTCCGTAACTGCGGGCCAGTCCGTATTGTCATCCCTCAACCCCTTGGCGGCCACGCAGTATCGATCAAGGAGTGGGGTGGGTGGTATTTTGGTGGCGTTTTTGTTCTCGTTTTTGAGCAGCGAAGAAAGCCTTGTGGTCTGTGCCTTTTCACGTGGAAGAGGCAAGAGGGGGTGGATTTTTTCTCGTCCTTCGGAAAATCAAGCTTTGGGGGCTTCCTGTGTACGGCCCGGGGAGGGGGGGGGGGGCAGCCGGCCACCGCGAGGGGGGGGCTCCGCCGTTTCGGTGCAGACCCAACGGCAGGGGTATTCTAGCGGGCACGCTGGCACTCTGTGTATGGACTGATGACGGGCTGTGTGATCCCCTCGCGGGTTGATGATTACGGTCGTCCGGGCATTTTCTTGAATTGTGTTTTGGACTAGTCACTTGTGGTTGGCATCGTTTGCTTTCTCGATTTTTTCCTTTTGTGTGCATCGCTTTTTCGCAAAACAAACATTTCCATATATACTGGGATCAGCCTAACTCATGGAAAAAAACGAAAACAATTTTCAAATGGCGCAGTTTTGATGACCTTTGTTTTACCCGAAGAGATGCCGTGTCAATATTTCAGGTTCTGATTCGAATGAGCCGCATGGGAGCCCCGGTCTCAAACATCCATGTATCTGTCTAAGCCAGACCAGCTTGTATGGTTATTCCCGACTGACTTCCCGGGGCCGGATGTTGGTGCATCCGCAGCCCTAAGCGCCCGTGATCTGACGGCGGGATTAGGACCTCCTGTGTCCACACATGAAGGCGTAGGCGTGCTTTTTGTTTTTCGCTCTCTCTGCTTCTTTGGCTCCTTATCATCGACTTTCTTTTTTCTTTTGGTCGTGCACAAAATGCTATTCCCCAGGTCGTTCTTTGGCTGCATCCGCATCCTGTAATACCCTTGACATGACAGGGAGGTCCCTCTCGCAGCGTCCACTTGTACACGTTTAACGTCTTGCCCTCTACCTCTTCGTTTCCGCTGTCACGCTTCTTTTTCTTGTTTTTTTTTTTTTCCTCAGGCCGCCCTTTGCTGCATCCGCATCCTGAGGCACCTCCCGGAGCACGTGGAAGACTTCATGGAGCGAATCATGGAGGTTCTTAAGGACAGGCATCACGGTGTGCTGGTCGCCGGCGTGCAGCTAATCACGGCTGTGGTGGAGTCGGACCCCAAGGTGCGTGGAGTGGACACATGGCACCATCGCTGTGCTCGACAAGAAGGGCTCTGAGATGAAAGAGGGTGGGGTTGAGCTCCTTAGAAAATATTCATGGAGATGCAGAAAAACCACCGCTGTCCTCGAAGGGCTCGGGGATGGAATGGGGATGAGCTTCTTAGAAAATACGCGTACAGACACAACCACAGTTTCGAAAGCAGACGCTCGAAAACAGACGACACGGGTTTTAAGATAGGGTGGGGCTGAGCTTCTTCAGATACAGAAGAAGATACACATTCAGATACAGAAAAACTCCGCTTTACGGCACGGATTCTGAGATGAGAGAGAGAGTTGGGCTGACTGTCGTAGATAAGGTGGTATAATCAGACAGAAAAAACACCGCATTGCACCGTTGTCTCGAGAGAAGGGCTTTGAGATGGGGCTAAATAGGTTTCTCAGAAAATCTATACATACATATGTACAGACGCAGACAAACTACCGCCTGCTCACGAAACGGGACGGACTCTGAGGCAGACAAGAGGACTGGGCTTCTTGCAAGAGAACGAGTACCCGCTCGCGATAGTATGTACAAATCGACGCCTCCGATGTCTCTACAGTAGTAGCAAGTGTTGAGGACAATACCTAAAAAGTAGTGGATAGTGGAGCTTCGCTGAAGAATTAAGTGGTTGCAGTTGAGTGTTGAGGACAACTGCCGCTGGATAAGCGTGTTCATGTCGGGGGCTCCGTGGCATGTCGGAGGCCCTGTGGCATGCCAGGGGCTCCGTGGCGAGTGCATTTTCAAGTCTCGACAGTCGTGCTCGATTCGGCCTTGCCAATAACGTTATTCGTATGGTGTGTCCTTGGGTGGTGTTGTTCCCTCTTCCGCAGGAGTACGCCCCGGCGTTTGCATCGGTGGCCCCTTCGCTGGTGAAGATGCTCAGGAACCTTCTCTCGGTGGGGTATGCTCCAGAGCACGACGTGGCGGGTGTTTCGGACCCCTTTTTGCAGGTGAAAAGGGAGGAGGCGTTCTTGTAGGTGGAGCGTAGTACACGACTTGTTGGAAAGCACGAGGCGTTGGGTGGAGCAGATGGCTTGGGGCTTTGGGTGAAATGCTGGAATTGTACCTGTGGTAGCCGAGATGACTTGTGGAGAGCAGGAGGTGTTACATAGGTGGAGTGCAAGGCTTGTGGCTTGCATGAAGCCCTGGAATTGTACATGTAGTACCGTAGATGACTGTGACTCGCGTGAGTTCTAGTTTTGTAGCTCGGGGGAGGGGGAGACGTAGAATCAATGGCACCAGCGTTGGGTACCGCGGGGGGTTCAGGATAGTGTGGTAAGGACATGCGACAGGTGCGCCGGTGTGACAGATAGGACCAAGTGGCGTTTTGCGCCGGGCACGTTTTTTGTACACGGAATGCGCGCTGGGCCGGAGGGCTTGTTGGCTGGTTGGTTAGGGTCCTGCGCTATTGCGTGGATGTTGTCGATAGACGACTTGTGTCGGACATCCTCCTCCTTCACTCGCTCGCGTTTGTACGACGCGAGAAGGTTTTTGCTTGTCCGGCTGAAGAGACAAGACATGAGTTTTCAAGTTCATTTTTGCTTTGTTGGGAAAATGTTGCGACTGTTTTCGAATTGGAATTTCGGACGGATTTCGAACAATTGTTGTCTTTCGCTCTCTCTATCTCCCTGCCTCTCCCCCCCCCCCCCCCC